CAGTTGATTGGGCCAGGAGGGTGCTTCAGTGCTAGGGCTGCCTGCAGGCTAGCCCTTGTGCCCCAGCCAGCCCCTCTGCAGCATGTTAAGCCCAGTCAGAGCAGCCCCAGGCTGGCAGGCTGATCCCCATAATGAGCCACATAAGAAATTCCTGTTATCTCTGTTCCCAGCACCCAGAAAAGGGGGAAGAATGGGAACTTTCTAAGGCAAGTTGAGATGCAGTACCTGTGCCTGCTATCTATGGCTGTGTGTAGATTAAATGAGGGGCTTGTGTGCACAACACTTTAAAGCAGACAAAATCCTTTTGCACCGCTTTAATGGTGTCAGTGTTTGCATACCTCGGTAGTGTATTGTGCATTAATTCCAGCCAGTGTAGAAAATTTGGCAGTGTAATGTGCATTAAATGACTTGGGGCTCCGCCCAAGAAAAGCAGTGAGCCTGTTTACCCCCCCCCCAGAGTCTGCCTGCCTGCTGGAGCCGCGCAGGGGCCTGGTGCTTCCCTCCACAGCTGCGGTGCCCCCCAGGACTGCCCAAGCCAGCTGCCTGTGGGCAGGTACCAACGGGAGGAGGGCAGTGCTGCTGCTGCAGAGGGAAGCAGCAGCCCCACCCCAGCCGAGGGACTGCTCCGCCCACCGGCAGCTCACCCTCCTCTCCCCACTCCCATAGAGGCAGGTAAGCGGGGGTTGTGTGTACCCACCGCTTCAATTTAGGACCCCCGTTTCATCTACACACATCCTATTTCCCAGGGTGCATAGATGGCTCAAGAAAATGGAACAGAGCTTATACCAGGGACTCAGTTTTTGCATGGCTCAAGAATGAACAGACTACCAAAGGTGGCTTAAACCTACCTTTATCCATCCCACCCCAGCCTTCATCCCTTTCCCAAGTGCACAAATGGTAGAGGTAAGAATTAGGGTTGTGCGAAGCTTTGGGTGCTGATTCGATTTGGAGGCGATGTGGCCTGATTTAGTGCCCTAATCTCTGAATCTAAGTTGAATCAGGGGACCAGTTAAAAGGTCCAAATTGATTCGAAGCTCGCTGAATCGATTTGGAAAAGATTTGGAGAGCTTTGGTGATTTGGGCAGTCCCCGCTCACTGCAGCAGGGAGCTGCACCCAGACTCCGTGCTGGTAAGTAGGGGTGGGGGAGAGGAGGGCTGAAGGAGGGGGCAGGGGACCATAGGGGGACCCCTGCCAGGCCCCATCTCCTGCCTGCTCCCCCAGCCCCCCTGAACCCTGCCCGCTTCCCCAGGCCCCCCATGGCTGCCCCACCCACCCCAGCTCCCAGTGCTTTAAAAAAAAGCCCCTACTCACCAGCTGCTGCCAGGCAGGGGGCGATCCCTGCTGCCCCCCACTGCCCCATGCTGCATGGGGGGGGCTCTGTCATGAGCCCCCTGACCCCCACTTCTCCCAGCACCCCATGGCTGCCCCGCCTGCCCCAGGTCCAGCCCTTTAAGAAAAAAACAAACAAACAAAATGCCTGGGCTCACCAGCTCCTGCAGCAGCCTCAGGGCTTCTGGGGGCTCATGCAGCACCCCACCATGCAGCGTGGAGCAGTGGGGGGCAGCAGGGATCGCCCCCCACTGGCTTTTTTTTTTCTTAAAGGGCTGGGAGCTGGGGTGGGCAGGGCAGCCAGGGGGGGAGGGGCTGGTGGCAGAGCCCCCCATGCAACATGGGGCAGTGGGGGGCAGTGGGGATTGCCTCCCTGCCAGGCAGCACCTGGTGAGTCAGGGCTTTTTTCCCCCCAAAGAGCCAGGAACTGGGCTGGGCAGGGCAGCCACTGCCAGGCTGGGAGAGCAGGCGGGGGATGGGACCTGTGCGATTTGGAGATTCGGATGATTCAGCAGCAGCCAAATCTCCAAATCAGATTTGGCCAAATTGATTCAGGACAGTGATTCAAATCACTGAATGGAATCACTGTCTCCTGGATTGGCCGAATCCAAAGCAAATATTAGCTGCTTTGCACAGGTCTAGTGAGAATAAGGCTTAAAGAGTTTGATAGTATGAAGACAGCCAAGGGGAATACGCTGTACTCTGGAACATTCACTTCCGTGCTGCTTACAACAAATGACTAACCACACAAGATTTTACATAAGAATACAAGTTATATTTACAGTCTCTATAGGTTAAAATCATCTGGATCAGCTTTTCAAATGGCATAAGAAGGCCATAGAAACTAGATCAGTTTACACCGATTGGGTATCTGGTCCACATTTTAAAATAAATCTCCAATGAATACTGCATGCAAATAGCAAAAATAGCAAACTGAATTTAAAAATTGTAATTTTGTTTCAGCTATTTTGTAGCTCCATATTTTTTCCTGACATTTTTGCTGGATGCAATATATTTCAGCACAAAAATTAAGCTTAGGCAAAACATAATCTTACTTTTGAATTTCTGAAAATTGAAGGTTTTGTTTCAAAAGAAATCTACTTCTGACTGAAAAACCAAGTAAAAATCATGTCCAAGAATAACATCGACAAGATTTTACCAAGTTTTCACAATTATTAGAGCAATTTCTCATAACTGAAAACAAAATGTATAAGACTCAAATGTCATGTTTTCCAAATTTTAATGTACATAATTTGAACAGCTCTAGCAGCTTATACGAATTAAACAATCAGTTCTTATACTACTATATTGGAAGAATTTAGACAATTACAAGATAAACATTATAATATCTAATTCCTTTACCTTCTTCAACTGTCTAGGTTTGTTTTCCTCTAATTTTGGACAGTGAAAATGGAATGCAGGATACTTTTATTTGCTTCAAAACTGTTTCTATTGGAATAAATCTTCTCCCAGAAGTCAATGGGAGTATTCACCTAAATGCTAACCATCTCAAGTGGGTGTTCTGTGATGCAGGGCACCATGGGAAGACCAGGTCTTTTATTACTTTAACTTATACATAGCTTTCTGAGGCAACCCCATCCCCTCTCCCCCCGAAAAACCAGACCCAAATGAACAACCGTAACTAGTCTGCACATCACTTTTGTACCCACTATTGGAAATTTGGCCTTTAAGGTTACAGCTGCCAAGCAGTCCTATGAAGTCCTGAGTGCCCTGGCTTTAATCAAGCAGGCATCTAGGCCTGTGTGTAATGACTACTCAGGGTCACTTTGAACATTTGAGACCTTAATGAGCACTCTGGAAAGTATATTAGAGCCCTGGGCATGGAGGACCACCAATCTCTTTTCCTCCTACATATGCAGGAAATTGAAATGCATTTTGGGGAACTAGAACATGCAGCACTAACTTTGCCTTAATGTCCACAGTCTCTTGATTATGCTAGGAGGTTACCACCTTGACAGTATTATTGCCTGAGAGGAAACTTATATTTTAACACTGTGATTTTGCTTTATGACTGTATGCTGCTTGACATAATACAAGCCAGGACTGTTTCATTGGATCATACAGTTCCAGTATCATCAGAGGCTAATATTTCATGACTGACAAAAAATGCTATTCTGCCATTATAAAAGTGCAAGTAAAACATTTATGGAGTGGACTGCCACGCATTTGTATTTTCACAGACCTGCATTTTACATATTGGCTTCTATTCCACCCAGGAGAGCACACACACAGCAGCGACTCTCCCTGTGCTTGAGGAAGGATATTTGTGCCCAAAAGCTTGCAAAGAACATTTTTTTCCAACAAATCAGTTGGTCTAATAAAAGATATCACATTTACCCAAATACCCTTGTCTGCCAATGTCCTTAGACCAGCACAGCTAAAACCAACGTCCTAGAGAACTGGAATAAGGAAGTTACAGAGTTACCTACAATGATTGTTTTGGCTGCCTTTCATATCAGGGTCCCACCATTTTGAAAATGTTCATATTATTGTCACCAATCAAACTGCAAGTGGCAAATTCTGCTTTCATTTATGTTATCGTTAAAGCAATTATCCAGAGTTACTCTCAGTATATTCTAATGAAACTAGGAGCAGATGTTGGTCCCAAATGTAAAAAAAAATTCTATACTATATTTGTTTAATTTTTCTCTCCCTCTTTCTCTTTCTGAAAGTTTCTTAGAAAAAGAATAATGCAATTGGGAACGGTAATGTCTTGTATGTGATTCTACTGTAAATATGTTTTTTACAATTGCCATATGCATTATACTATACCAATACACAACAGGGGAAACCTGCCATGAGACCAGGACACTGCTAATGTATTGCTCTTCATATCTGCTTTTCACTTATGTAGTTAGCATGACAGCATCAGAAAAAAACCCTTGATGCCTACATACTGTGTTATAGCTCACACTTACCTGTATAATTTCACCTTATCTATCTATGTGGAAATATATTTATAACATGTATGTAGATATATAGTATATAGAAAATATACATATATATGTACACACAGATGCAAGCATATGTACTGTATATACACATAGTACAGTTCCTCCATGATAAAGCTGTTACAAAAATATAATAAAGATTAGACACTTTTCACAAAATCTTGTACTGGGGCTCCTAACAGATTTTACTGCATTACAACAATTGTCAGCATCTTTACATCATTTTCTTATAACACCAAAGACAAGTCTGGACAACTAAGGAAGTTGGTACAGTTGCTAGGAAAAAGATGTAATGTGTATATATGTGTATATACATATGGTATCATTAACCATGCAGATAAGTCAATAAGGATACGCTTTAAATGACACTATTAGTACCATGCTTTTCTACTACAATGAGCAGGGGAAGCCACAAAAATACTGTAGTGTGAAAATAGCAAAAAGACAACCTGTCATTTAAGTATAAACCAAAATTAATTTACTGATATGAAAAATTTTGCCAGAAGGCATATTATGGAATTCTGCCTTGCTTGTTTTAGAGCTACTATTTAGATAAGCTACAGTATTAAAAGAGAAGCTGCAAAGAGGCTATCTGCAAAAAAAAAAAGAAGAAAAAAAAAAGAAAAAAAAAGTTAAGCATCAATACCCCCCAACTAAAAATAAAATGTTGAGGAAAGGGGAAAAAAAAAGGAACTTACCACACTGCGAGTGAACTTTTCTAGAGAAGTTCTACGACCTTGCTCATTCTCTGGCTTTAAGGGGAAAAAGTGGGGAGAAAAAATACAGAAAAAACCCTTCAGCTTTAATGCAGTTTTTTCAAAACAGCAGCAAAAGATAAGGAAGCAAAAGATAAAAAAAAGAAATGATAAGGGAAAAGATGGCAACTGATGTTTGCAACAGCAAACAGAGGAGAAAACTTTTAAAGAATGAGAGCCCCGAGCTGCTGAAAAATGTCACCTTTGCTCCTGAGCAATTCAACCAGGGTCTGTGCATTGTGTCCCATAGCTATGGCTATTGATTTCTCTGTTGTTGAACTTTCCTTCTGCGCCATTTGAACTGAGACCTCTGGTTCTGGTTAACAGCTACCAAACAGTTGACTAGGAAGAGCCAAATTGACATTTACTACTTTTTAGTGAATATTATAGAATAGAGTGTTAGAGAAAAACAGTGCTGGAATGACAGCTAGGGAGGCTAAATTTCTTTATTTCTGCATAAGGTCGGTGCCCATTGCCACCATGTTGACTCACCCAGTAGGCCTGAACCTTGCTCAGGAGAGGCCACCTGTAAGTATGAGATAGCACAGAATATCTGTATAGGGCTGTGGAAAGACAAAGCTATATTTTTTGGCACAAGTGTTATTTATGCAGTACAGAGGGTTGTGTATATGCTTGAACTCTTAAAACTTCATTGCAATAAGGCAAGTACATATGCCACTAGTCTTTTGGCATTTATGTGAGAACATGGCTCACTTTAAGACTGAAAGAGTATGTCATTTGAATTTATTGATACCTAATGAGAAAAGAAATAGACCTTTTATTGGCATGTTTATTAGAAAGTTCAGTGTGAAAAAGGCACTATGGAAAACAGTCGCATTAAGTAAAGCTTAACATTGTCAGAAGGCCCTCAGCAGGGCTGACACACAGGGAACAAGGTACTGGATACCTATCTGACTGTGGTGGGCCACAGAAATGAAGATGACACTGAAAGGGTATAAGAGAAGAGAATGATTTGACTCTCAGTAACAAGCCATCAGAGACAGTAACCAAACAGGCTGTAGCTCAGGCCCGTGACAGACCCATTTCCTCTGTGGGTTGGGATCAGAGGGGATTATGCAAACCAGTGGATTCTGTGTGCACAAATATGTGGGATGGAGTCGATAGACAGAGGGAATCTCCAGTTTCCCTTTTATATGGCCAGTGTAAGAGCAGTCTCCCTGCTCAGGGAAGGACAGGATCCCCTTCCATGAACTCCCTGGGATGCACATCACACCGAAGAATACAGACAGAGACAATGAGGAAGTGAGCCACAGACTTGTTCTCTTACCATGGGTGCAGTTTCTGATTTGACAGATGTATCAGCAAGAAGAAGGCTGCATAATAATAAAGGGTGATAGAGTCTGTGCCCTTTAGAAGCACTATCCCCCCTTGATCTCCCCTAGGAGTTATATGACTGCTTTGTCTCAGATACTTATCTGACTGTGGTGGGCCATGGAAATAAAGATGACATTTGGGTGTCTATACACGTGCTCCAGAGTGGAGGGGGACACTTTAATTAGAGTGGCTCTGAGACCTGCTCTAATTAAAACATCTGCAGCGTCACTTGTATTCAGAATCCCATGTTTCAAAATGGCAGTGGGGGTGCTTTAACTACAGCTCATTTGATGAGCTCGTTCAACGAGTTAAAGCACCCCAACTGCCATTTTGAAATGCGGGGACAGTGAATACACGGGACATGTAGGCTGCTGAAGCATGCTAATTAGCAAGCTCCACCAGATTTGCACCAGACTCAAACAATATTAACCCAAAGCGAAAAAGCATGAGCAAAGAAACAAGGGAGAGAAGATGCAAGGAAGCCAAAAGGAAGTTCCCAAATACTGACAAAGATTTTAGATTATATTGCAGATTATGATTGCCACCCAAAAAACAGAACCCCAGTGTTTAAGAGATTAGATTCAAGTATTTTAAGAGGACACTGAGCTGATTGTCAGTCACAAGTCATGAGAGACAGCAGGTCATTTTACAAAGACAAACACCATCCTGTGTCCAGATGAAACTACCAAGGAACGGTCTCATTTATAACTATTTGAGGGAGTTACATTCTCAGCTGTCATGCCCCCAAATGACACCCAACACAAGAACTAGAGTTTCTAGGAGAGTGGAATTTTATAGCTTTACAGCACCATGCATGGTTTTTATATATGTGTTTGTGTGTGTCCCAGTCCTGAAGTATGGTCCCATCCTTCCACTGCCCTTGATCCCTCTCCTCCCTGGAGAAACGTTATTCATCAGATTAAAAATCTTATTAACTGTGTCTGTGTGTGGGTGTAGGTGTACACACACACACACACACACACACACACACACCCCCCCTGTTGTGTCAGGAGGTCTCCTGCTTGGCCAGAGTCTGGGTCTGTGATATTACAGTAGGATTTCTGAGACTCATCCAGTCCTCTGACTACTACATACTGCTCATCCATGTGGGCACCAATGATACTGCCAGGGGAGACCCTGTGCAAATCAGAAGTGACTACAGGGCTCTGGGTGCAAGGGTGAAGGGGATGAGGAAGGGCCCAGGTAGGAGCGGACACATCCTGCAGATCAATGGATGGCTGCCTAGGTGGTGTCACCAGCAGGGCTTTGGCTGCTTTGACCACAGGATGTTGTTCCAAGAAGAAGGATTGCTAGGAAGAGAAAGGATCCACCTGATGAAGAGAGGAAACAACATCTTCACAGACAGGCTCACTAATCTAGTGAGGAGGGCTTTAAACTAGGTTTGCCAGGGGATGGAGGCCAAAGACTTGAGTTAAATGGGGAACTGGGTGACCTGAAGGAAAGACAAACAGGAGGGGGCAACAGGAGAAGTCTTCTCATTCTTTCAGAGAAAGGAGGGCAATTGGCTAGTTACTAGGGCTGTGCAAGGCTTCGGACCGCGCCTCGGATCCAGAGAAGATTTGGATGCTTCGGATGCTGAAGCAGCATGTCCAGATCAAAGAGCTGGCTCCTTTAGGCTTTCTGAAGTGGTCCAGAGCTTCTGAACTGCTTCAGAAAAGCTTTGGAACTACTTCAGAGATCCGGCCATAGGGTATAATGGGGAATCAATGAAATATCTGTAATGTCATTGTTTTTTGTCTGATTTGGATGACAACTGCAGGGATAGTGGCCCCTGCTGAGGCCATAAAGCCTTCCAATTTTCAAGGAGATAGGTGCAGGGGTTTGGGGGAAACTGTACCCCAAAATCTTGAAAGCAAAACTCATGTCACATGTGTATGTTAAGCCACAGCAGGATGAAAACTGCCCAGGTGGTCACCCCTGCTGAGCCCACAAAGTCTACCAAGTTTCAAGATGATAGGTGCAGGGGGAGTCTGGCTTCTGGGGCCCTGCACCTCTGGCTGCTAACAGGCAAAACTTGTGCCATGGGTGCTTGTGCAACTGACTGTCTGTCTTGGGGCAGTTGATTGTCTGTATTGATTCTTTCCTCTCCTTAGTCTGTGGTTTTGTAGGTGTTAATCCTTGCTCATTAACTGGTTACATTAGCTAGCTAATGTGTATTGAGCTGGTCCCTGAGTGAATCGTGATTGATTGGTAACAGGTAACACAGTAGCTTAGCAGCCCACCTGCAGTAGTTTCCCACCCCACCATGCCCCAAAACAGACACAGTTGCACAAGCACGAGTTTTACCTGTCAGCAGCCAGAGGTGCAGGG